CACCCACACCCACACCCACACACCCACACCCACACCACACCCACACTCACACCCCACACCCCACACCCACACCCCACACCCACACCCGTCCCGGACTTTCGGCCCGGAAAAAAATTTTTTTTCATCTTAAAATCGAATGACACTCAGTCTAATATTTATTTTCTATCGTCCCGGACTTTCGTCCCGATACAAAATAAATATTAGACTGAGTGTAATTGGATTTTAAGACAAAAAAAGAAATTTTTTCCGGGCCGAAAGTCCGGGACGAAAATTCCTTGGGCCGAAATTCATGTAACTCGCGCCATCGTCATATGTTAAGTTATTCGGTAACGCGATGCATGTGTTCTCTTCGGCTAAGAGATACGGTGCATGACCACCGTCTCGTTGCCATCCATAGGCTGCTCGTATGTCCGGCGAATGGCAGGAGATCATGTAACCTTGTTGACAATCCAAGCACAAGCCACATCCACTGATATGATAGATAATTACTCGATCACCAATGCGAAAACGTTTGCAACATTCACCGACAGATACAATGATACCACAGGGTTCATGACCAGCAATAACATTACGATATTTTTCATCGCCAGTACCCAAATGTTCACGATTGATAGCGCTAAAAAAATTATCAAAAAAAACATCAGCTACAAGAAAAATTTCCTACCGAATATCACTGCCACAAATCGATGATGCCTTAATTTTGACAAGCACTTGCCCTTTTCCTGGTTGTGGTATAGGCAGTTCTCGAAATTCAACAGTCGAGTTGCCTGGTAGAATTACACCTCGCATCATCTTCGTATTTCTTTCTTCTGTTTCTTTAGATGTTATCATCTGTTTTTATCTTTCTCGTTGCTGTCTCTCACTGGCGTACCATCAATCCAGTGAGACTATTGTTTGACAAGGGCGTCCTTTTTCTTCGTCTTCCTTCAACTAAATTATAGTCAAGGTGTGGGTGGGGTAGGTGTGGGTGTGGGTGGGATGTGGGTGTAGGTGTGTGTGGGTCGTGTTCTGAATTCATCCCACATCCCACCCACACAACCCACACCCACATCTACACCCACATCCACCCCATACCCTTCAATTTCAGTTACACTTGAGAAATCAAAAAGATTAATAATAATGGAGTGAGTTATTTAAATATAAAATTGCTTTCTTATTTAAATGTAGAAAATCTTGATAAACAGAATATTTCAACCTTGAATTGATGATTAAAAACGGTCATCATCTGCTGGATCTTATTGCCAAAAAATACAGCTAATGAATACTTAGATAAATCTAATATCAAAAGCATAACCTAAACTAATATATTATATAATCAAGTTTATAATAACTGCCAATCTAATATTAGTCAATTAAATCCGTTGAGTTCTTATTTTACATTAAAAATCTCAAATTTCAAATGAATTTAGTTACACTTTTTCCCAGTTTAGATTTGAGTTTCACGACTGAATAAAACCGAAGTGAATAGTTTTTTCATTGCAATCATATAGTTTTTTTAATTTACTTTATACCAACAAGGGATTTAATAGAGGGTGTGGGTGTGTGGGTGTGGGTGTGGGGTGTGGGTGTGGGTGTGGGTGTGGGTGGGTGTGGGTGTGGGTGTGGGTGTGGGTGAGGGTGAGGGTGTGGGTGTGGGTGTGGGTGAGGGTGAGGGTGTGGATGTGTGGGTGTGGCTATCTTGAGGGTGGGTGTGGGTGGGTGTGTGGGTGTGGCTATCTTGAGGGTGGGTGTGGGTGGGTGTGTAGGTGTGGGTGTGTGGTGTGGGTGTGGGTGGGTGTGGGTGTGTGGTGTGGGTGTGGGTGTGTGGTGTGGGTGTGGGTGTGTGGTGTGGGTGTGTGGTGTGGGTGTGGGTGTGGGTGTGGGTGTAGGGTGTGAGGTGTGGAGTGTGGGTGGGGTGTGGGTGTGGGTGTGGATGGGTGTGGGTGTGGGTGTGAAAGTTAGTGGTGTATTAAGCCACACTCACACCTACACCCGCACCCACCCTCACACTGACACATCCGTACTCCACACCGACACTCACACCGACACCCTCAAGATGCGAAATTCTGTAAGCTGCCTATAATAAAAATACAAATATTAAAAACAAAATTTGTCCTTGAAATTGTTTTAAGTCGTCATTACATAGTAAATCGATGATTGACAATAACAATATTCATATTTCGAACGATGGCATGAGCCTATTAAATCCATAGATCGCAGAAACAATCGTATATTGCTTTTACGACGTTTTTTTTTCTTCTATAAAGATTACTTTTTCGGAGAACAATTAAGTGCTTAAGAAAGCAGTTAAGCAATATCGAATTTCTATTTGTCGAAAGATCATATATTGCGCTTCTTCACTTTCGGCGAATGCGAAAAACATTGTCTCTTCATTGTATATAAAGATGGGTACCGCCACTATTCTGTCTCATTTTAAAGCAAGCGATGGTTTCAACAGTAATTCGTTGTTTCGTATTCATTCTATTCAGGTAATTCTAAAATCTATTTTTTTCCTATTTATCTAATGTTGAACAATGTTCTTTTTAAGCCTTACAGGTTTGATTCTTGTTTTCTTTTTCCATATCCTCATATTTATTTAGTGTATCGCTAGTTCGAGTGACATCTCAAATATGCTATGGAAAGCAATATGATCAATGTTCGACGATTAATGGGTGTGCTTGTTTACATATAGCAGGTGCTCCTCTTCCTAGTATGGGCCTTTGTAGCTATCAATTCTTGGTGGATTGTTTTGATCTTGATCGATGTGAATCTTTAACCAATTTTTGTCCACCTGAATATGAATGTGTTTATCATCCTCGGTGTAATAATGTTCCTGTTTGTTATCCAGTACCGAGAAACAATCGACAAATCTGCCGACCAATATCAGGTAGTAGAACAAACAGTTAGTTACGGATTCACTTGAAATTCGAATCTTTCTTAAACTTATTTCTCCATCGTTCACTTCTGGTCACATATATAATTCATGTTGGTGTAGGAATAGTTGCGATGAGCTGAAGAGCCTTTGCAAAAAGTAGATAAAGCATGACGAGAATAAAATGAATTGTAATTACTGGAGAAAAGATCTCTTCTCGTTCCTTCTCATATACCATGCCTATTATTTTGAAATAAAGCCTCTGTTATAATTATATCAAGCGATACACGAAGACAGAGAGAACTCTTGAATGTACGTCAGAGACCGAAACAAATTGAACAACTGATCATTCTATTCAATTCTGTAGAACGTGTCATATGTTAGAATCCCCAGAAGAGCATTTCAATTCTATTGTGCCACATTTCTCTTTATTCACAGTTTTTATTGTATACTCGACTGAGTCTAGTGAATATTGAGTTTAGTCGGCAGCCTTTTTTCAAGACAACTACGATTAACATCTAGCTCGAAAGAAAACGCATTTATGATTCTCTGTGTCATGTTTCTAATGACTAACCTTGCGAACTTGAAGACTGATCATTTAGCTGTGACGGAATAATTGCTAGAGCTTCAAGAGTGCTTTAGCCATTGAATTGAATGAATATGCCACTAATGATCAGTAATGCAACTGTATATGAAAAGTAATTTTCACAGCTTGTAGCATTGCTGACTCAGCCGCCTCATAAAAATACTAATAAGCGCAGAATGTATATTGGCAGAATGCTCTTAGTACGGCTAATTATTTTGGAGGCTATGCCTGCTTGTATCAAACATTTGAGATTTCTATCTTAAGAGAAGAATGTCAATATTCAAACTGTCTGACGACCAGAGGAACGAGAGAGAGAAAGCTTTTAACAGTTTATCTCTACAGTATTTTGTTATATGAGATTCATGTATGTCGCTTACTATGTATGAATCAACTGAGAGTGCTTGATGTATGCAGAAACATATTGACTCGTGTCCTAGAGGATTTTTAGTAATGACTCACTAAAAAAGCATAAAATATTGAAATAATTTAAAAACATCAGAACATTCGTGTTATCGAAGATTCAGCATCGGTAGCACCAACATAGAATGCATGAGAGCAGGGAAATGAAGCATTTGAACTTGTTTGACTACGAAAATATGGCGGTAAACCTGGATACTGTACGAAAGTCACGGTTGACAAACGAGATTTTTGCAAATTTCAATCGATCTGACTCCCTTGACATGTTTTGAATCTAGAGATATTCGATGTTTTCTTTTCACTATAATGAAGTCGGTTTTTAAACGTTTCAGTGAACAAAAAGATGCTTCAAAGAAAAAACTGTGTCTCGGTTGCTCACTTGACTGACATCATAGTTTTTGTAGTAGTAGAAGGAATTTCGTACAATCAGCCATCTTTTTTCTTCTATAAGTCATTCGTGGATCGAGGACATCAATTGTGAATCCATTCACAAACTTTTCAGAATAAGGTGTTTTTTCGTCTATCGTTCGTTTTTTTTTCCTGTTTCGTCTTGCAGGTGTTTAAGATATTTCTCTTCATCGTCATCCGTGCCTTCTAGGTTCTTTGCGCCAAAGACATATGTTATGTTTCTTGGACTCTTCGACTTTCTTTGATCTTTGAAAGTCTTTCGAACTCGTGCCTTCATTTGAATCATACCATACCTTTTACTCTTTGGACTCCTTCTAATTCTTTAGGATGGGAGTGAGTGACGTGAGGATCCACACCCACCACTTACAATGAAGTTTCTCTGCATGAGTATGCATTAGGTTTCAGGAATCATCATGCACTGTTGTTAGGATTTTTCAGAATCGGTTTTGCACGAATATCGTTTTTCTCTTGTTGAGACCGTAGTCAGAACCACTATCCAAATTCTTTGACAATCCTAATCCAAAGATTTGGACCAGATGTTCACAAAAAGCGAATAAAATCTTGCGAGAATCGTATTTGGAATTCGAATCACGATATTGAGTATGCTTGGGAGTGAACACTGCTAGAACTTAGAGAAAACCTCGAAGAAGTGTCCCGAAATGTTCTAACTCACCCACTTAGTTCCCAAATCAAGTTGATGATCAGGATTACCATATCTCTCGCAAAGATTCGCGATGCTAATAGTCCGAAACCGTTCGAACAAGATCCTGAATAATTACAATAGAGATTCTGACAACAACAGTACATCGAGCTCAAGGATTCCTCATAGAATCTTGTAATGGTTTCTTAATTTGCGAATTTATCGGATCTTCCGATTTTCTTACTAAGATCCTATCATCCTCTTACGATGAAGAGCTTGACGAAAATTTTGCAAGAACCTTATAAAATCCTGCTACAACGCTCTCTGTAAATCCTGTTAGAATCCTGACTAGAATCGAGTGCAGATCCTGCGACGATTCTGCATTCCGATTTCAAAGTACAGACGTACTAGTTAAGACTTGCTTCTGATGATTATACGGATATTTATGTAGTCAATTGTGAGATGCATTTATTGTTCATTTTTTTGAGTAATGAGGAATGAACTAAAATAAAAATTAAGGTCTATGAAATAACAACTCGCGGTACTTATCCTTTAATAGAGAGATCAATCTAATGCTTTCAAGATAGTGTATGAGAAATAATGTTTTAGTCTATTGAAATCAGCTTAAGAAGTTCTACAATCTGGCACCAAGGCGATTGAAAATGGAGAGTGATACTTAAGAACTGTTCCTCGTGCACCTATAATATTTCAAGTTCAATTCCACTAGCTTCACAAAAAAGTATGCTTGTTCATATCTGAAACAATAGTTGTCTTAGAAAAATGTTAATAAATAAGTAAATGAAAATCCTAAACATGAAAAACCTATTGATTTAAAAATATACTATTAACTTCGTTTAGAAAGTTCGATCAACCTACAGTAATCAGTCGCTTTGAAAATGTATATTTAATTTATTAACTAGTTAATTTTT